TAATTAATAATAATTAAGAAGCTCTTTCCGCAGCTCCATTCCCCCACCTATGTCTGGTCAAAGACTCAAGGCCAAAAATAAAAATAAATCACACGTGTGCATGCATGCATACACATTCAACTACAACTCATGTAATTGAACCAATAACATGTTTTAATAAATAATTAATCAAGTTTTATTTTCAAACTTCAAAACCGCAGCACCACCATTTGTTGTAAATTATTATTATTATTATATGTACATATATCCAAAGTAATATTTCTTGCTAAACCGTCTAATCACAAAATTAAATAATAATTCATTTCATAATAGTTTCAAATACCTATTTGGCTGAAAAATATGATTGTACATGTGAAGTTATAAACTTAAAAATTCTAAGTTCGAAATTGGAAGTCACAAAACAATTTCCTCACTAACCAAAATATGATTATATATACTTGATTTCGATTACAGATTAATAAACACGTCATTAAAGAATTTTAGATGGCAAATCTGTTCAATTTAAATTTTCAGGAAGCAGTCAAGTGGGAATTGTACTTTCCAATGTTTCCTTCATTTCGTGGTCAACGATGTGGGAATGTGGCCAACTTTTGCTTCGTTTTGTATGCTTAATAATAAGCATGTTATTAATTTTTTTTTTGAGAAGTAGTAGAATTGTTATATTATAAATTTGCGTATAATATGTGTGATTTACTTCAAATACAATTGATGAAATACTCGAACTTGAGGTTTTCAATAAAGTTGAAGAAAAGAAAAATCTACTATACCAATCTATATCTTCTTTGGTTTACACATTTTTAATACACTAATTTACAGAGGAGAGGAATCGAACTCGAGTGCAAAGGATTAGATGCACTTACAAAACGAATTACGCTAATCCGCATATGAAAAGAAAAAGAATTATGACTAATATTCCTTAAGATAAAATGCTCCCACAAGTCAGATGAAAAAAGCTCTAGTATAATAAGGAATTCAACTTTCCTCGTGCTTCTTTTGGCAATTGCATTTCGTTTTAATGCTCTCTGTTATTTTCTTCTATTTTTTTCCCCTTCTCTATAAGATATTCTATTCTGCAGTATCATTGATTTATGTTGTTACTTTGTTTCTGTTATCTCAATCAATGTTCTCATCTTGTTGAAGGTGCCAAAAGAATATACAAAGAGGAAAATAGAAAAATAAAAGTGTGGTCCACTGCAAGAGAGCTGTGATTTATCAGGATCAACTTCAGTTGACTATTCAATTTGATTTGTAACGAAGATAAGGTAATAAAAATGTTAGATGAATGAAAATGAGGATCACCATGTCCGACGATTTGGGACAACATAATAGGCAGATTAATAATTAAATTACTTATCGCGAATGTGAACATGTATTTGTCAACATTCTCAAGGACGGAGTTAGGAATTTTCACGGAACTTGGCTATAATATATATATTTTCTTCTATTTATTATGTGTGGGTGACTGACTGACTTTGTATAAAGAATAAACCAATTCTTACAAAGGTTTGGCGAAAATATCATCTCGGAAATTGTAATAATGACGTGTGCTTGTAATTTTTTCAGCAACAAAATAACGTGGAAAACCTTGTTCTATTTTTGTTGTTGTTGGAAAATAAGAAAAAACCCTGTTCTTAGAACAACCAACTATTGTTCTTTTTATTTATGTTCTATGAAATTATTTTATAAATAATCCATTGGGTTATGCTTTGTCCAATGACTTGGAAACAGAATGTCCTGCATCGGAGAGGAAAAACTAGTGGGCTCATGACACGTGGGTACGGAAACGACCAAACCACGTGGCTAAGCTTAATGAGCTAGGCATTATGACGTGTACGGTGGGACCACACACAAGGTTTTTCTATTTATTTATTTATTATTTCATCTTCGGGAGCAGGACCACCAAACAGATCGGAGTGGTCAATAGATATATATGTGTGGTGAAGTGGCAAAAGCCAACCCCAACCCCATCTTTGTAAGAAAGTGCATTTCACGCTCATCTTAAATTTAAACCAAATTATAAATAAATAATTTTTATTTTTATTTTATGAAAAATGAAGTAAATTAAAAAAGAGTATATCATTTCAAGACAATGTTATACATTTTGATGTTGGGTTTGACAACATTTTAAAATTTTTAAAAATAATAATATATGTGGGTATCATGTATAAGTTGGGAAAACAATAATTCAAGTTGAATTTGATAGAGCATGTGACTTAAAATGGTGGAAAACATGGTCTCGAAGTTGTTAAGGAATGGATGCGTGATTTTCATGCTTGGCTTGGCAATTCCTATTCAATAATTTTTTGCCTTCGAGCTACTAAAATTATGGATTTGAATGCGGGACTTCATTTTGCAAGAGAGAAAGGCATTTCTAGCCTAGACATTGAGAGGTGATGCACTTTATGATATTTGAGAAACTATACACAAAATAAGAATTTAAGCATGGAAGCACAATTGATTGAAGATGTTAAGTTCATGTTGAGGATGCTTAAAGGAGGTTGTTTTCACAATGGTGGAACTAGAGATATGTTATTGACCAAGGCAGACAAAAGTATGAGAAAAAATAATGTATTTTTTAATTAAAAAGTCATATTGTAAAATCAAGATACAAAGTAATACTTAAAAATACTATAAGGGATGAAGGGTTTCTTATACACACTACCAAGTTGTGATGGAGTTCGAATTTAAGACCACTGATATGCAAGTAAATACACTTCTCTAATGGGTTAGACCCCGCCAACGTTAAAAACTATTTATTGCTTCAACAATTAGCATTTATACTTGTTATTTTGGCCTTCTTTGTCACACAAAATACACAAGTTTAAAAATTTATGATGTTATCGTACTATGATTATTTTGAATGAATTCCATTTCTCATAAGAAAAAGGAATACGTAGTATTTTTCTATTACTTCATAGTCCATTCATAAATTGTCAAAGAATTTCCAAAATTTGCGTGTGATGTAGGGCTTTATGGTAAATCTATGACAGATGAGATGTGCTTTCAACTTCATGTAGTGAATAAGTAGATAAATTAATTTGGTGACAATGATTATTTAATCTAATTTTGAATTGTACCTTTTGAGCGAGAAGTCGATGTATATATATTTTATATATTTCTTTTTTTAAAGTTAAAAAAATGATGTTACAAACTCTTTGGCTTCATCTAGCATTTACATTCCAAATTTATTAAAATTTATATGCCATCTTGACCTTTTTTTTTTCTTTTTAATCAGAAAAATATAATATTTAGAGGAGAATGCAACTCCTTTTACCATTAGAACATGATGAAACAATTTCTTCTTGGAAATCTGAATAAATTTAATATGAACATTTAATCATGTATTTAAAGTTGTTGAGATCGATGGACTATAGCAACATCAGCGCGTGCCTTCCAGTTTCCAAAAGCCCGCGGAATCCAAATCCTAACAAGAATGCTAGAGAGCGAACAGAAAGGGTCCCACCCCCAGTGGCAACGTGCGTAATAAGAGGCGTTTATGAGGGCAAAAGTCAACGACTAAAAAGTCTGAAGACCATAAATTGAAATTGAAAATGGAAAAAGAAAAAGAAAAAAAATCTCTGCCGGGTTTACACGAGCCAATACCATTGCCTGCCACGACGCAGACAGAGAAAAAGACGGCAATGGAGGAAAACCCGAAACGGAGGCCGTCAAAACATAACGAAATCCCTTATGCCGTTACGTTACTCCTGAAGTCCGTCGAAGCTTTTCTAAGGCGCCGTCAGACGCATTCGGCGCATTTCAGCAATGTGATGATTACGGGAGGCATTAATTGTTCCGCCGCCGTTATTAGACGGTTCAGATTCAATTTCCCGTGAGCCCTACATACATAGTTAGCTTAATTAACTAGCACTAGCAAAATGAATAGAAAAATAAATTAAAAAAAAAAACAAAACATAAATTATATTCGAGTTTTCTTAATTAATTAAGAAATATAAGCTTTTTTATATTGGCATTAAAAATATTATTTTATACAAGAAGAGAGATTTAAAATTAAGTGTTTCATTCTAAATTATTGATTTTTTTTTAAACCTCAGTGGTTCAAAGAGAACTTTATTAAATTGTTGTTTTTTTTTATTTGGAAAAAAATTTATTCCTTATCATCATGGCATGTTCTATTTCTAAATTGTGGATTTAGATTGTTAATTCAAGGAAAGGGTTTTTCTTTTTGAAGTTATACTGCATCCCCTATTTCCATACTAATAGTTTCTTTTGTCAAACAATTTAGCATGTTATGTCGCTAAATTATCGATATTTGATCATAAGCGTTAAATGTGTTCATAACATATCAAATATCAAACAAAAGAATACTCAAACATTATAAATACAATTGTAATTGTCATATATAATTAATTTTTTAACATCACGATTGTCATCTTTGTGCTCATTGACATTGTTATAATTATTTTGAGGTTATTTTTTTTTCTTTATCATTAGGTCAGGATCCCACACTTCTACTGATAATTAATTAAAACATTGGAGTCCCAATATCCCACACAAACAGTGGGGGTGGTCCCAATTATTGGTCAAGAAAATTTTAATTTTTTTTGTTAGATGATAAGAATTGTATCGGTTTATGTTTGAATATACAAATTGAAATTATTTTTTGGTATAAAATATTTGTTGTAAGGTCCAAACCTTCATTATGATGATTAGTCACCTACCGTGTACCATCATCTGCAGAGACTGAAACAGGATGTCAGGATTTGAGCTAAGACTCAAAGACCAAGCACTAAATTCATAATGGGAAAGGAAAAATATTAGCAATAGCAAGTACAATTATTTAATTAATTCTTCTAGTTCTTTCCAGTGGGATGACTGTTATAATATTATAGATCCCACTCAATTATAAGAGAAATAGAAAAAAAGGAATTTGGCCTATGATGGATAGATCCCATTCCCACCCAATTGCAAGAGAATTGAGAAAAAAATAAATAAAAATAATTGGGCTTTTAAGAATTTGCAATTATAATATGATTTAAGAGAGAGAGAGAGAAAAAAAAAAGAAGCTTTTTTGGGGATTTGGTAACGTCGATTCAGGTCAAGAAAAACCCAGCAGAATTAGAAAACCACAAAGACTCAGAAAGAGAGAGAGAGAGAGAGCTAAAGCTTCACAATCACAAGGAAACCAAAAGAGAACCTGTTTTGGCTGTGCCGAGAAGACAAAGCAAAAAGCGGGTTTGTAACTGAAACACATTTCAGAGAGAGAGAGAGAGAGAGAGGGAGGCCACCAGACTATTAAAAACCACAGTCGTTACAGACCCAAAAGAGAGAAAAAGAGAGAGAAATAAAAATAAATAAAAGAAACTAGTACTAGCACTAGCAATTATGGCTGCTAGCATAACCGTCCTGTCTGCTTAGCCTTTTTGCTCTTCCGGGTCTTCTTGTTCGTAAATGGGGTAGGATATTATGGTATTTACCATAGTGCGTGAAGACTGAAGAGGCTGCTGTTTGAGCTTTTCTTTGCTTTGTTTCAGTTCTCTTGGGTTCTCTGCTCGTGCACGCCACTAACGACGTCGTTGCTGGGTTGGTTTGAGCGTTTGAATGGCACACCTTGAGTGTGACTCCTCGATTTCTCGGGCGGAAACAGGTGGGTTGGTTTGCTTGGTAAGTTGAGCAGAGTTGGATGCATAGGAAAATGAAATGGAAATGTTAAAGATTTTGCCTTTCTATGTGTTTTCTATTTGGGTACTGAGAAAACACGAAAAAACCTTCATTGAAGTCTCCAGTTTGTTTTCTGTGTTGGGTGGTGGCCTAAAAAGTTGTTTTCTGTCTCAGTGGAGGAGGGGAGGATTCTAATATTTCAGCTTGCAGACTATGATAAAGTTTCCATCTTTAATATTTTGAGCTTGTTTTCATTTCTGGGTTTCTTCAGAAACCAGGCACAGGATTAGTTTATACCCTTTATGTTTATTTATCATTTTTCTAATATTTATGGTATACATTTCGTTTGATAGGCTTTGGAGGTGGTGATCTGTACACAGAGCTATGGAAGTTATGTGCAGGACCTCTGGTGGATGTGCCAAGGCCTGGGGAGAGGGTGTTCTACTTCCCTCAGGGTCATTTGGAACAAGTACAATCCTTTCTATCCACTTGTTTTCGTCGTTTCTTAGTGGATCAAAATCTTTTTTTTTTGGTTACATTTGTTTCCTTTTCTGGGTTTCTGATGATTTCTGGTTTTTGCAGTTGGAAGCATCAACAAATCAGGAACTAAATCAGCAAATCCCTCTCTTTAATCTTCCTTTTAAGATCCTTTGTCGTGTGGTTCATATTCATTTACTGGTATTGTGCTTCAGATCGTAGTTTTCCATGTATATCTATGGTTTTGTGCAATTTTTTGTATTTTGTTATCTGGAAAATTGATTTTTGTTGAAATGAGAGTTTCTTTAAACTTACAGGCAGAACAAGAGACAGATGAGGTTTATGCTCAGATCACTTTGCACCCAGAAGCAGATGTGAGAAACATGTTTTTCTTTTTTGTCTTATTTATTGTTTTGTGTCAACTTGCTCTGTTTGATTACTAAGAAGAAGGAGAAAAAAGATATAAAATCAAAATGTACAACCCAAAGCTGTGAATGTTTTGCTTCCAGAAATTAATGTTAAAATCGTTTCAATTCAATTGAGTTATTTTCTTAATAACCAATACTGAAGATTTCATGTTTTTTAGCTCTTTTCCACAGGTTTTGTAGTAACCAAAAGTGTGTGTATAGAATTATAAGTTCCAGCTCTGAAAGAAGTATAATTTTTTCCCCTTTTCTTTCTACTCATCTTCTTTCTGCTGGTACTACAGCAAAGTGAACCTACCAGTCCTGATCCATGCATCCCTGAACCTTCAAAGCCAACAGTTCACAGCTTTTGCAAGATTTTGACCGCTTCCGATACAAGCACCCATGGAGGGTTCTCAGTTCTTCGAAAGCATGCCACTGAGTGCTTACCTCCATTGGTATTTTCTCTCATTTCCATGCATTTCTGTTGTTTTTATGCCAGTGGTTAATCACCGTTTTCTTTTCATATTTTCATATGCACTGCTGTTTCTATTTCATTAGGACATGATCCAAGCAACTCCAACTCAGGAGTTGAACGCCAAAGATCTTCATGGGTATGAGTGGAAATTTAAGCATATATTTAGAGGTATGTGCAGCCAAAAGTTTGCTTTGTATAGAATGTGAATATGGGTTTTTATTTATTGTAAAAACTGCAATTATTCGATTCTGAAGTAAACTAATCAGAAGCACTAATATAGTATTTAGCCATGTTGAATGTTAGGAACTGTTCTGTTTCTGCATATGATTACTGGGTTTATGTTTCACTTTAATTTCAAATGTCAAGGTCAACCCCGGAGGCATTTACTTACAACAGGATGGAGTACATTCGTCACTTCAAAAAGATTGGTTGCTGGTGATGCCTTTGTGTTTTTGAGGTAACTTTTGAAGTTTAAGACCTATTTTATTTTTATAATTAAGGTGAATGCACCCTTCATAGCTTGGCTTTTAGTTAACAAGAACCTATTTGTAGGGGTGATAATGGGGAATTACGGGTTGGGGTTCGGCGTCTAGCTCGTCAACAAAGTCACATGCCTTCATCTGTGATATCAAGCCAGAGCATGCATCTTGGAGTGCTTGCAACTGCTTCTCATGCTCTTATGACACGAACCCTCTTTGTTGTGTACTACAAGCCCAGGTTTGGGGGATGCTTTTATTTTTTTCTGTAATTTAAGGTTTTTCTGTTAGTTGGGAAATCCATTTATTCCAGCACATTTGTTTCTTTTTTTCTTCCAGGACAAGCCAGTTCATTATTGGCTTAAACAAATATCTGGAGGCCATTAACAATAAGTTTTCGGTTGGGATGCGCTTCAAGATGAGATTTGAAGGAGAAGAGTCTCCTGAAAGAAGGTGTCTATAATGGATTTTTGGTCATTAATGTTTTCTTAAATTGAACTCTATTGTAAATTTCTACATAATTTATTTGGCCAGGTTCACAGGCACTATAGTTGGTGTTGGGGATTTATCATCTCAGTGGTCTGAATCTAAATGGCGGTCATTGAAGGTTGAGATGTCATTGAGTTACAGATCAGAATACTGTTTTATTTGCTCCCATTTGTGTACTTATTTTTCAATCTTATTCTTACAGATTCAATGGGATGAACATGCTGCAGTTCAAAGGCCAGAGAGGGTTTCCCCTTGGGAGATAGAGCCTTTTGTAGCTTCTGCTCCTATACATCTTGCTCAACCAGTAGTAAAGAGCAAAAGACCTCGACCTGTAGAAATTTCTTCATCTGGTATGAAAATTTACTGCTGTGGATTTTTTATTGATTAATATTCTTGTTGGACTCTTGGGCGGGTCTTAGTGTCTTGACTTCTATGTATCAATTGGAATGTAGAAATTACCACCAATTCACCTGCTTCTGCTTTCTGGTATCATGGCTCAACCCAGACCGTGGAGTTAAACCAATTAGGTGGTGTTCCTGAAGTCCAAAGCTCTGGTAGTCAGGTTGTCTGGCCTCTAAGGCAGAAAGAAAGCAATAGCAGCAGTTACTCTAGCTCGAGGGTCTACTCAGAGGGCATCTGGCCTTCTTCTCCATGCGTGAATGTCTCCTTAAGCCTTTTTCCAGACTCGAAGGAGGGCAACAAAAATGTAACTACGGGTTCTGTTCTCTCTAGCGTTGCTTCCCCAGTTTCATCAAAGGCATCATCAAAGCCAAGTAATACCCCAATACCTGGCCAGGTGGGAAAAGAGAAAAAATCTGACAGTTCAGATTTATGGTTGTTTGGATATAACTTGACAAACAACTCTAAAACTGCCTCTCCCCCAGAGAGTGAGCCAGTGTGTAAAGCAATGTCGTGTGGTGGTAAAGGATCCATTACAGCTGCTGCATTTGAAGTTGATCAGGATCTGGATGTCTCAAAGCTCTCAAAGGAGCAGAAACAAGTAATCTCAGAGGCATCACCAGGAGAGACACAGGGCAAGCAAGGATTGACTCTCTCAACAAGAACTCGTACTAAGGTAAAATGCGGAGTCTTGCTAGTTCTATTGTTTCACACCACTACTTAAAAAAGCAGTTGTTTCTTATGAGCAATTGTTATTGTCTCTTGAGAAGGTGCAAATGCAAGGGGTTGCTGTTGGTCGTGCTGTGGACTTGACTTCATTGAAAGGCTACGATAATCTAATTGATGAGCTAGAGAAAATGTTTGAGATCAAAGGAGAGCTTCGTCCACAGAACAAATGGGCAGTTGTTTTTACCGATGATGAAAATGACATGATGCTTATGGGCGATGATCAGTGGCTGTAAGTAACTTAAGATTTTGTCTATTGCACCATTTCATTTCAATACAAAATGAACTAAGGTTCTGAGAATATTCAACTTCTTACAAATGCAGGGACTTCTGTAAGTTGGTGAAGAAGATATTTATATATTCAAGTGACGAAGTACAGAAGATGAATAGATGCAAGCTTCAGAATTCATCTTTAGATTGTGAAGGGACGGTTAGCGTGGATTCTGAGCATAGATGTGAAACATGATAGTTCAAATTTCCTTCCTTCTTGTTGTGGGTTTATTTTATCTCCCTATTCATCTGGGAGAAGTTAGTTGGTAGTTGTTTTGCTCATATTTTTGGAGCATGTACTAAGCAAGCAGAAGACTAGGTTGGGATTTGGGTTAGCAGACTTTCATGCCAGAAGCAGAGCAGCTACTCTTGATCAGGATTAGAAATGGAATCTGTCAATACTTGGTGTGGTTGTGGTTAAGTTCAGTCGGCCTGTAAAAATACATATATATGTTTGGTATTTGGTTTCAATTTAGTCCTTTTGGTCACAATTGGCAACTTTTGCTTTTTGCTTGTTTCTCTTATTTTTGGTAACAATTGGCAACTTTTGCTTTAAGTTGTCTAAAATGTGGAGGCAGGTGTGTTGTTTTCACAAAGATAACTTCTTGGAAAGGAGGTGTGGTGGAGAAAGGGTGAAAAGGAAGTATCAAAAGGTCTAAAATCCATTTGACAACGACAGAAGATATGAGAGCATTATCATTGTCTGTAATGACAAATTCAACTCACCAACTCTTTCATTTATTCATTTTAAAAATCATTTTAAGAAAAAGGGAAAATTTCAATTGAACATGTAGAAGGGCAATCTTCTTCCCAGTCAAATGTAAGAATAAGATACTGAAACAAACAATATGAAATCTATTGCCCATGTTTGAAAAGGCATGTGCTATGCATGAACTTAAAAATATCATACTGGAGGCAAATTTGCACCAGGCTCAGAAATTTTTTGCCTTTATATCATGGGAAAAAGAAACTATGTATTATTATATTATAAACACAAAAAAGGCTCAATTGTTGTTAAAAGATGTGGCTTTCGTGCCTTTTTTTCCTAGTGTTTTGCAGACATTTCCGGAGTTGGCTTCTTTTAGGTTTCTTGAAAAATTGCTATCAAACAACTTCAGAATAAAAAGAAGACAGGCAGAGAGCCCTTGCCATGCCCTTTTTTTCTATTTAAATTTTTATAAATAGAACCCTTGCCATGCTCTTTGAATTTTTCTATGCTCCATTATGTTATTCTCTCATCCGGATATCTGCATGTTATTATCGTGCAGATACCATTGTAAACATGGAAGGAAGCAGGGAGGGTAATAGAAAATACATAGCGTCTGCATAATAACGTCCGGATGTCCGAAAAAAGAATTTCTGTATATATGTAGTGTCACACACTGTTAATTTAAATCATTGAAAAAAAAACATGAATTATTTTTTATTGCATGACAGAAATTGGCAATTTGTATGATAAGATAAGGCGTAAGAAGTAGAAGTCAATTGTTCAATATAGAAGAGCATATTATATACGCTTGATTTTAGGGGAAATGGAGCCGGGAAAGATTGTGTGAAAGCTCTGGTTTGTTTATTTTAAAACAATAATGAAAGACACATTCTCTTGTCTTTCACGTTAAAAGCATATAAAATATTTCACCAAAAATTGTACAAGACAGGACAGTGGAAGAAAATTTGTCCATTGCTTTTGTTCTACGTTTATTTTTAGTTTTACCAGAGGGAGGTGCTATTTGCATTCTCCAAACACCTCTTGCACTCTGGCAAAAGAGCACGAGAGTGCAAATAAATATACCTGTAAATTCACTCTACCATTCAATGAGTTAGTCTGATTTAGTCCCCTAGGGCTCGTTTCGTGTTTAAGATTGGATTGGATTAGATAAATCACTAAATCCAAACTTAGACACCACACGAGCGCTTAATCTTAATGTCTCTGTCTTCTAAGCCTGGGTTCTCATAACTCAACAGAAGAAGCCCAGAAAATTTCAGGCCCTTACAGCTTCACCTCATCAGCTACAGAGTTTCAGTTTCATGGGTTTTAATAAGCAGCCCTCAAACTGATTAATGGGCTTCATTTGGGTTGGGGGTTTCTGTCGTAAGCATGATAGTTTGCCACCACCACCAAACTCTCTTTCCACTGGGAAAAAAAACGTGTTTTGTTTCTTTTCTTTTGTTGCTTTCTACTTTTTAGAGCTGTATGACATAATTACACTTTAATACACTTTAATCATTGGTTTACCTAGTTTATGTACTAGTTGAAATTTGGCAAATGATTATGGATTTAGTAAGTGTCAGCATTTTTGCCAAACAAAACAAACCAAATAATATCAACATCCATTAGGCGCATCTGATTTCTTTTTGCGGACATTTCCCATTGTGAGAGGCAATAACATACTAAATTCACACACACTACATGGATGCTAGGAATCGAACCCAAGACCTTACTTGAGAAAGTAAATACTCCAAATTACTACACTAGTGAGTGCTTTGCTGCTCATCTGATTTCTAGATTCAGGATATATGATAATATGTGTTTCAATTTTCATTCAGCCCTCCTCTCACTTCATCCACGGGGAAAGAAAGAGGTAATTTTTTGAGGTTAAGGTGTCGCAATGAGGTCTAAACTCTATAGTCAAAGGAGAGATAAATAAAGCACTTTGATCTTTGTGAGATCACAAATCTGCTTTGAGCAAGGGGTTGTTTGATTATGAAAATGACTTGATGCTTTCTACTTTTCCCCTTGACTTTTGCATCTGGGTGGCATGCCGCAGCTACCACGCTAGCTAGAACACCGTTTAGCCACATAAGTACTCCTAATACCGCATATCATGAGATCAATGTTTGGGCATTTGCTAATTTGTCATTTTCCTCTTGTAGTAATAGGAAAATCTTGCTTTTATTATTATATTACTTCTTGCTGTATGTCATATCAGGCTTAGTAGACTTGTAGTGTGTTCCGAAATCAACTAAATGTTGCCAATAGAATCATGTTAGTATCCATTGTTTCTGAGTCTGCAAGTAATTACGAGTTATTGATGCATGGCGAGATCATAAGCTTATTTCCATTGCTCGTTGCAAGTACTTGAGGCTTATAGAAGTAGCGCCTAATTTTCTACAATTCATGCAGACCCAATAGAATCATGTTAATATTAATTATCTATGCACTTATAAATGATTGTAAGCTGTTGATGCATTATGAGACCATCAGCTCGCATTCGTATGGTTCTTTTCAATTATTTGGGGTATATTGAAGTAGAGCCAATTTTCAACAATGCAGGCAGGGATTTACTTTGATCGTTAATAACATCTATGGTCAATTTGGAGGCAGGTTGTTTAGACTTTCAAAACCCAGCTGGTGTCCTCTTAGTGCCAGCCTCTCTAAATTCAACTCTTTTGCATTAATTTTTTTCTCGTGCTTGAACCTTTTATAGATTTCGATAAAGAAAAAAGAACCTTTATAGATTCTAAGGGACAAGCTCATGCACATCTGTTGTTGCCTTGAGAGATTGGGATGGTTGGTTTTTAGTGACAATGGAGAATGACTTTTTTTCGGAAGGGCGTTGATTGACTAACTAAAGTCCAAGAAAGGCTCAGTGTACTACTACTGAAAAGGGTTTTGTTCTCCATCACAGGTTGGCATCCTATGCTTCACAATTGCAGTAAGGTATGCTCATGTGCACCATTGTGCTACCATGTGGGCTTGAGAATTGGTTGAAATATGCCACAAGCCCTCATGTGATTGGCAGAGTAAGACTACCTCAGTGTACAGTGAAGTCAAGTCATTGTCAAAATTTCCCCAGTAACAGAGGAGATAAGATATAAAGCTGCTTTGCTTTTATTACCACATTCTCAAGCCAAGAGAAAAACTTAGTAGCAATGGGAATACCAGTGTTATCACGTGTGTTGTGTCGTAGCGCTATCGGTCGAGATAGTAAAATAATGCTATTTCTGTTTCTTGAAAGTCTTTCTTCGATAGTAATTCTATTTTAAAAGAAAGGAGCAGGTGTAATGGATATTAGTGCACTCCACCAATTACCACATGTTTCCTGTCAAAGTCACAATTATATGAGAGCTTATGCGTTTAGCAAACATAGCAAGGCTCCATTAAGACAGATGTGACTCAAAGTGGTGGCTTTTTCCTTTTAAGACTTTCCTTTCTCTTTCCTTTTGTCTCTCGTCTCTTTTAGTCACTCAAAAAACTCTTCAACTCTTTTATGAGATTCAATCACCAAAGATCAGCCACAGAGAGATCACTAGAGGCCATGGGATCTGAGGCAGAGGTAGAGGAAGAGACACTACAGCTACCCTTGTTTTCTGTCCCTCAAATTCAGTCACTTGAGCCTTCTGGGAGTTTAACCCCACCACTCTACACCTCAGTTTCAGTTCCATTTCGCTGGGAAGAAGAGCCTGGCAAGCCAAGGCCTTGCACTGCCCTCATCACCCTTCCAAACCCAACTGACTTTTCTCAAAAGTGCTTAGAACTCCCTCCAAGGCTGCTTTTGGAAACCAAACAACCTTCACCCACCACAGTCCTGGAGGGTCCTTATGTGGGCAGGTCAAAGTTTCAGTCTTCTTCATTTAGGATGGGCATGGAGTGTTATGGGGCTTTCAGCCCTGAGAGAGGGCAGCTTGGTGCTGTGGTTCTGAGCAAGAGAGGGCTTAAAGAAAAAGGGTGGTTTGATTCATGGGGGAGGAGGATCTTGAAGGGTAAAAGAGAGGTTGGTGGGGCTAGTTATGTCTTTCCATCATCTGTGGATGGAGAGAGTGATGGCAGCAGTGTGGGAGAGAGCAGCACCAGTAGGAAGGTGAAGACCACAAGGATTAGAAGAGCTGGGAGCCTTTCCAGTCTCTCTCATGCCAGACCTGATTTCTGGGTAAATATTTCTTTCTTTCATATCTTTTGTCTAATCATTTGGTTTTAGTTTTAGTTGCCTCACATTCTGGCTTGCACTTTCCTCTACCTGTTATGACATGACATTATAAATTTGGTGGAGTAGAAATGAACTCTGGTTAGTTATTGAGAAACTGGTCCAAAGCCATTAGAGGTCCCCTAGCCTTTTGCAAAAGGAGGTCCCCTACATCAAAGTGTACCCAACTAAGCAGGTCTCTAAGTACAACAACATAAATTGGGTTGTGTAGGGGTAGGCTGGGAAAGGGAATGAAGGTGAGAGAACATGTTATGTTGGCAGTTTGGGGCCAAGGCTTTGTACTTGGGAAAAGTCTATCTAAGTTTTTAGAATTTCATTTTGGTAATTTTGAAGTTTTTAAATTTTTGTTTTTATTTATTTGATGTAAAATTACTTTGATTTGCAGACAACAATTTACCAGGGCTTGAAGCAGGCAGTTCCATGGAAGAGTAGAAAATTGAAGAAAGATGGGATTGTGATCTAGACTCATCTCTGTGCAACTTAGAGTAGGTCCAAATCAAAATTACCTGTCAACTGTTGCAGTCCAGTAATATTCTATGTGAATTGAAAATGACATTTTCTTTTCTACAAAAT